GATTGAGGGATTGAATGACAAAAAAATGCAAAAAACTATGAGTCACAGGCAAAAATGTATGCCACCAATAACAACCGGTGTCCCCGTAGCGGCGTTCGAATTCTAGCTCACAAAATTGCAGTGAAATTGCACCCGGTTAATTGCCATCCAAAGAACACGGGACAAGGCAGAATTCGACGACGATATATGGTATTGTAATTCTCCACTATGGGTAAATAAATTACAGGAGATGATGAAGGTAATTTCGAAATCTGCAGATTTGTGCCGAGTGTACACCAACCACTGCATTAGAGCGACGGCGTGAAAAGTCTTTCATTCGGCCGGAGTTGAGACAAGGCATACCATGTACTAGCTGCGGGTCCGTAGCTCGTTGGTGCGACATACAATCGAATTTTGCCCTAACAATTTCATTCGGACGTCTTGTTTTTATTTTTTTGTTGTATGTTGTATGTTGTATGTCGAACATAGGGGCCAGCCAGAGTCTGTCACGTAAAAAATGCGGTCGGCAACATAGGACTATGATTCCATAGCTAATCATGTACGTGTCACAAAAACGATACGAGAATCCAATCTTACACCATCAAACTTACACCAGAACAACGACAAAACTTGTCAGTCATACTGTCACAAAACTTTGGTTATACCAAAGGTATCCAGGTCAGATGTTGGAACTGAGGTCGCTGTGCCGATCGCCGTACGTGATACACCGCGTCCCGCCGCGTCTCAAATTTCTGTCGAACCAAGTACCGCTAAACGTCAAATGTCCACAGTTACAAGTAGTATGATGAGTCACAAAACCGGTTTATTTCACAACTGTACTTTCAATGGGCAAATTACAATCCAAATTGTACAAAAACCGGAATGAAAACGTGGAAAATCCCGTTGTTTTAATGATCAAAACTTTGTATTTCAAATCGCGTTGACGCAGTCAGTTAAAAGGTCAGAAAGGTCATCTTCTGTTATGCTAATTTGTGTGCTCTATTCACCGTGGAAACGTTTCTTTTTCATGCGGAATAAAAATTAGTTTGTATTCAATTTGAACTGTGTTGCGCATGTTATTTTTTTATTCATTCAGCGTACAACTACATACTATTTTTATAAATATTCATTTTCAAGGGCCATAATCATGATCTTTTAATAGATGAAAGTAAACTCTTTTTTTACTAATGTTATCGAATTGTCAATATACTGTATAATATAATAGCAAAAGCCCCCCGCCGAAGTTGGGTATACAACATGATATTGCACAATTCACTCCATATATGCACTTGTCTGCCGCTCGTGCATATATGTCGTGAATTGTGCAATATCTCGTGGTATACCCGCCTTCGGCGGGGGGTTATTTCTTAAATAAATAACAGCATAATATGACATTTGATAGATGTAGATTTATATATGTGTAACAATGCGTGAGCTATGGCTGTGTTATTGTTGATTATCCACCAACTAAATTTGTATTACAAGATGAAAATGAATGCACCGAAAATAATGGAGGATGTGATCACTTATGTGTCAACATGGAGGGTACATACAGTTGTGGATGTCTTACTGGGTTCACTTTGAATCAAGATAAATTCACATGCTCTGGTAGGCAACTAGTATTATAATATCAAATAGCCTCGATATTGGATTTTTCCGCTACTTTAGCAAACAATTGTGCAATCTGATAGACTATACCGGATAATTCCCGGTTGTATTTCATGAATTTGAATGATGTTCAGCTATATATATAATGTACAAATTTGTAACTTCAGCAAACTCTTTCGCCAAAATTTTTGACATCATTTATATGTTTTAGATAATGATGAGTGTGAACACGATAATGGTGGGTGTGACCATAAGTGTGAAAATACATACGGGACTTTTAAGTGCTACTGTAACACTGGGTATCTGTTGAACTCTGATCAGAAGTCGTGTTCAGGTACGTTGCATCATAGTTTATTATATAGAGCTACAACGATCATATTGCAACAATAGTGTATACAAGAATGAGGTTGTAAATTTACTAACTACGATAATGGATTGAAAACCCTGGAAGTCAACACAGTTCAGTAAATTATTTTGTTACGTTGGTCAGCTTTGATGAATTTTAATTTAAATGCTGCATGGAGATTGGGATAATAGTAGCGGATTGATCAATTTTAAACAAATAACAACACAGATACAAGTCGGCCAACAATTCACTAACAATGGAGCTAAAGTAGTCACATTCAAATCACCGAATTTTCAACTAATTTTGTGATTGTATTCCCGTCGGTGGTTGATACAATACGGACAATTACTAGTGGCATTGTGCATTGTACTAACACACTTTTAAACACGAAATGCCTGTTTAAATTAAATGATCTTTGTCTTGTTTATAGCGGCAGTTTTGTTGTTATATTTTCTGTTTATCGACATGTCGGCATGACCGTCCGTCGACTGTATAATTGTTAAAACACTTAAATTTTACTTGTAGACAAGAATGAGTGTGATGAGAATAATGGTGGTTGTGAACACATATGTACAAACACACATGGAACGTTTAGTTGCTTATGTCAGAGCGGTTATACGCTTGACGCAGATGGAAAAACATGCCATGGTAAGTTCAGAGATAATTATAGTAATTCACTTAATTTAACAACAGACCATGCTACTATTTTAGTGATGTGTTGTATGCGAATGTTTATGTTGTAAAGAAATAATAACTTGTAATAACTGCTTCTTGAAACATACATTCATCCCACAGATAACGATGAGTGTTTCCAAGGAAACGGTGGTTGCGACCATGAATGCCATAATACGGGTGGTTCTTTTGTTTGTAAATGTAGAAATGGATATACTCTCAGTGAAGACGGCCATTCTTGCAATGGTGGGTACAACAATAGCAATGTCTGTATTACATTCTATGTACAGCAAAGAGAAAATAGAATATGTAGTGGAAAAGAAAATATTCTTTATTTTGCAGATAATAATGAATGTGATTTGAATAATGGTGATTGTGATCATGTTTGTGCGAATATTGAAGGATCTTACTGGTGTTCGTGTGATTCAGGTTACATACTTAACAACGACTTAAGGACATGCAATGGTATTTATCATCATTACGTATTTTGTGAATGTTGACAAATTATATTGTTTTCTTATAGTTTGCATAATTACCGATTTTCAATATAAGATGATACCCGTGCAATAAAATTATTAATAATGTAATTTCTT